CTGTCGAGGCTTTACGGAGAAGGTACCGTCATCTTAAAGGACTTCCCCTCCGAGAAATTGAAGCTGCTCATCCAGTTTTGCTCATAGGATCTGACTGCCCTCATTTAATTACCCCGGTTGAGCCAGTTCGCTTGGGTCCACCAGGGGGTCCTGCTGCGATTAGAACTCTCCTTGGATGGACTATGCAAGGACCAGTTCAAGCTTTGCAACATCGTCTTACAGAGCAACAATGTCTGTTCACAACAAGTTGGTCACCCTCTGCTATGTTGCATGAACAAGTTGAAAGACTCTGGCAAATAGTTGTCCTTCCTTGGAGAGATGAGAAAATGAGTACTCGATCAGTACAAGACCAGCAGTCACTAAAACTACTGGAACAAAGAACTTCTAGAGTTGAAGTCGATGGGATTTAGCGATATTCTACCCCACTGCTCAGAGTGCAAAATATCCCTCTCTTTTTGCACCTAAAGCAGCAGTAATGCCTCAGTTAAGAAGTCTAGAGCGTCGTCTCAGTAAGTCCCCCGATCAAGCAGCTATCTACCAGGCTGAGATTAAAAGACTGGAGCAGGCAGGTATCCGAGGGTGCCTATGGATCTGTCGCCTATCTTCGAACAGAAGATCAAAAGGGAGAAGTGGAGATCACCTTCATGGTGGCCAGATCAAGAGTGGCTCCTAAGAAACGTCTGTCGATACCTCGTTTAGAACTATGTGCAGCCTTGACAGGTGCCCAGTTGGCTAAGATCCTGCAGAAGGAATTGGCTTTGCCTATTCGCCAAGTTTTTCTTTGGTCTGATTCCACCACAGTTTTGACCTGGATTAAATCAGAATCCTGCCGATTCAAAGTTTTCGTTGGTACACGAATAACGGAGATTCAGGACCTTACCAGCTGCTGTGAATGGCGCTATGTGCGGTCAGAAAGTAACCCTGCTGATGACATCACTCGAGGTAAAAGGCTGGCAGAACTAGGGCCACAAAGTTGTTGGAATACGGGACCACCATACCTTCAACTTCCATCTGATCAGTGGCCGGTTACACCGCCACCCTGTTCCATAGTTGTTGATGAACAAAGAAACTCTACATTCTGTGGTCTGACGAATACTGTACTTCGTTTATCTATACCTGATCCAAGTCAATTTCTGACCTTCCCAGAGTGTCTGCCCAGAGTGTCCCTGACTGCCACTGTAGAATCTCTCAGGGAACATGGAATCAGCGTATCAGCTGAGGACTTTCAACAGGCCGAAATAGCTATCCTTCAGCAAGCTCAATGGGAAAGCTTTCCTTCTGAGATGGCACAGCTTACAGCGGGGAAACAACTGAATACCAACAGTCGACTGCTTTGCCTCGTCCCCGAACTTGAATCTGCAAGTAAACTCTTAAGGATAGGAGGTCATCTTCGCCGCTGTGAAGAGATTGAGCCTGAGTCGATGCATCCTATTGTCCTCGATCCCCAGCATCCAGTCACTACCCTTCTCATTAAGGACTATGATACAAAGCTATTCCACCCAGGTCCTGAGAGAATACTGGCAGAGATGTGTAGGAAATACTGGATCCTTCGGGGTAGGGAAGCAATCCGACGTTATCAGCGCAAAGATTGTCCAGTATGTCAGAAGTTTCGCAAAAACCCACAGATACCCAGGATGGCAGACCTGCCTCCTGCCAGACTACGTCTATTTAAACCTGCCTTCTATTCTACTGGCATTGACAGTATTTCGGGCCATATTTTGTAAAGATTGGACGTAGAAGTGAGACGCGCTGGGGTATTCTGTTCAAGTGCATGACTACACGTGCTGTTTATATTGATCTTCTCCCGAGACTCGATACAGACTCCTTCCTTATGGCCCTCAGACGTTTTATAGCCAGACGCGAGAGACCTTTTGAGGTTTTATGTGATCAAGGTACTAATTTTAAAGGAGGGGAAAGGGAGCTGCATGAGACATATGCTGAACTAGTTCCAGAGCTGCAGGAACAACTTGCCAGTCAGCAGATTATCTTTCGTTTCAACCCACCTCATGCCCCACATTTCGGTGGGTGTTGGGAAAGGGAAATTCGTTCCCTGAAACAAGCTCTACAGGTCACTCTGGGAACTCAACCAATACCAGAGGAAACTCTTCAGACTGTGCTAATCAAGATTGAAGGAATCCTAAATTCTAAACCCCTGGGGTATACCTCCTCAAATGCCTCTGATCCAGATCCTATTACTCCAAATTCACTCCTAATGGGGCGGCCTGATTCGTCCCTTCCTCAAGTGATGTACCCCCAAAGTGAACTATTGAGTCGACATCGTTGGCGGCATAGCCAAATTATAGCAGATCACTTTTGGAAGCGGTTTATCAAATTCTATTTGCGTGGTCTTCAGACTCGCAGCAAGTGGCAGCGAGAGTCACCCAATATCAAGGTGGGAACTACGGTTATGATTGTGGACCCTCATTTTCCCAGGGCCCTATGGCCCATTGGTCAGATCTCTCAAGTATTCCCTGGATTGGACAATAGAATCAGGACTGTTGAGGTGAAAGTTAAGGACAAGTCTTATGTGCGACCTGTGGCAAAGGTTGTACAGCTACCTGCGATACCAGACTGAAATTGACTTATCTTTTTATAATGTACAGATTTCCTCATTCTTTAGAAATCTGGGGGTGGCTGTTAAAAAGGCCCACTGCAAATTAACTTATTTTGCAATGTTCTGGCGAGCAGGCACTGTTTGAATGTGCTGTCAATGCAGCAACCTAAAGACACTAAGCTCCGCCCATTTCCAGCAGGTGGCAGTGATTGGCATTTGGTAGAAATAGCCTGCACAGAGTAGGTGAAAGCAGAATGGACTTGATGCTTTCTCAAGTTTGGTGTCGTGTGCGTATGTTCGATGAACCAAACCACACACATGGAAGCACCAAAGTAATGGCTTGCACTTATGTGCTCAACATTGATTGGACATTCATGGAATGGTTGTGGAGTAAATAAAAGCATCAAGAACCTTAAACTGCATCTTTATGTCTCTGACCGGACATCTGTGGTGAACTAGTCCCCCCCCACTGGCAACCCCAACTGGTTTAGCTTTACCAGTTTTCTTTAGGATGCATGAACGTTTGTAATACAGCAACAGTTGTTAATAAAAAGTGTTTTAACCTTAATCATGACATATGCTTAAATGTTTATTTTTTTTGCCAGTTTGTTTGCTTTGCCCAATTAATAAGTATTCTAAGAGGATCTAATGGATTTTTTAGTGGTAAGACTAAAGTCCTATCCTCTTCTTGAGCTTCCTCTCCCCTTTGAAAAAGCACACAGATTGGAAACAGCTGTGGCCCATCCTGGATGCCGTACAGCTGGAAGTCTCGTCAGAGCGCTGGATCAGCCAACGAGAAAGGCCATAGGAGATCCACATCTGGAGAAGAGAGAGCCAGCGGAAAAGGATCCCAGACGCATGCCAGTTTCAGCGTCTCTCTCTCTTTCACACACACACACGCTCAGACGCGCCAGTCCTTGGGCGAGAGGGAAGAACATTCCCTTCTGCTGATGTGAGGGAGATTCAGAAATCAGGCCAGAAAACTGCATGCTGGGAGCTGAGCTGATTCCTTCCTCTATGTCTGAAGTTATATTTGATGATGTTATTATTAAAGAAATAGTTCACCCAAAAATGAAAACTCTGTCATCATTTCCTCGCCCTCATTTCAAAACCTGTATATATGAATTACTCATAACACAAAAGGTATATTTAGGAAGTATATCCTGGCTGCTCTTAAGTATAACAGAAGAAACAAAGATGGTGAATTACAAAGAAATACACCAAGAACATGTGAAAGTATTGTCTCATAAAAATGTTTTTGAAAGAAGTCTCTTATGCTCACCAAAGCTGCATTTATTTGATCAAAAATACAGTGAAAAACTTGAAAAATCTTACTGACCCAAACCTTTGAACAGCAGTTTATGGTCCACATCTTGCAAAGTCATATGATAGTTTTGCATGGGAAATAGACTCAAATCTAATTTGTTATTGACTGCAAACCTTAAAATATACCCTAGCTCTCAGCTCTACGAATTTGGCCAGTAAATAAAAGAATATTCTGTTTTTGGTGAGCTAAATAAAACGAAAAAAAAGCAAAGCAAGGCAAAACAAGATAATCTATGGTCAGATTTTACTGAAAATGTAATTAACCACAAAGTGATAAGCCACAAAATATCTACAAAAAGAATAAGCAATTACATTCCTTTTGCAGTCGCCTCAGCAAATGCGCATTCCTTCAGTTTGTATTTAAGGAAGGAACATTGCTCCATCAACCCTGCCTAAACAAACACTCTCCACAATTTTTCACAAAACAATGTATAGTTGTTACTTTAATGACCTGACCTTTAAAAAGGGCTTTCTTTGGTGTAACCTTGATATGAAATCAGATTTACTCATTACTCACTATTGGTTACCTGACAAACGGTGCTGTCTGTGCTCTCTATACAGTGTCTGCAAGTTTTGTTCTCAACCAAAAAATAAACGCAGATTCTTTGAAGACAACCCAAGCAACCAGACCTCCTTGATCAGAGCGAGTCACACACACATAGCTGTTATTAGAAAACCCCTATAATAATAGAGAACTGCGTTTAAAGCAGTACAGTTAAACTGTTTCATGTAAAGAGTCCACAAAGGAACAAAAGAATACTTGTTGTTCATGAAGCTTTAAAGTCAGGAAAATATGACTTATATTTTCTTGGGACTTTGTAACTAAAACAGCTTTGTCAACAGCAATGAATGGCACAACATCCTTATAAAACTGAAAGGGATAGTTCAACCCAAAAATTTAAATTCTGTCATAATTTACTTTTCTCCTCTAAACGTATTTGACCTTCTTTCTTCTGCAGAACACAAGAAGATACTCTGCAGAACGCTGAGGTCCAAACAACACTGCATGTCATCGACTTGTATTGTATAGACAAAAAAAAACATTTTGAGAATTTATCATCATCATCTTCAGTGTTCACACATACTCTTAAAAATATACATTCTTTATTGGCATCTGTGATTCCACAAATAACCTGGAATCTTTGGATAAAGGGTTCTTATCATGGAAAAGGTTCCTTAGATTATTAAAACGGTTTTCACACTATAAAAAAATGGTTCTTTCAAGAATTGTTCACTGAAAGATTCTTTGGGGATTCCAAAATCTTCTTCACCATCGCTGCAAAAACCGCTATTGGAAGCTTTATTTTAAAAAGTGTATACTTGAGGTCATTTGTAGGTTGCCAGCTTGAGGTTCTGTCGTATCTCAAAGTGCTTCACTGCCTCGACTGAAAACCTCATATTTCTCTCAGCAAGATTTCCTCCCTCTGAATCAGTATTTAGACATAAAGAGCATGAATTACTGCAAGCCACCGTAGGCTATAGATATCCTGGCACTGCCCAGCAAAGACAGGCTAATTATGTATTGTGGTGGGTTTAACATGCGTGGCACACTGACAATCCAGCGAAACCTCCTACGCTCCTAAATGCTCACCACCATCAACCGCTCTCTCCTTCTGAGCATGCACAGTAAGTCGGGCCCCAAAACAGGAAGTCTGGAAGCATCGTGATCCAGGGACGGACTATAAAAAAAGATTCTTCTGGTGAAATTCAACTACGTTTTGAAAATGCTGAAGAATTCAACAGTTTAATGTTCAGTTTCCAACACATTTCTTTCTCACATCTTTCCCTGAAAAATTACGTACACTGCAAAAAAAATAAAAATTTTCTGAAGTTTTAAAGATAAGTGTTCATTTTATAAGTCTTTCTACAAAAATGTCATGTTTAATTTAATGTGTTGCAGTTGTGAAATGTACTAGCAATTTCGGAATTTTTTTTTTTTCAGTGAAGTGTTACACTTAATTCCCCCTGACAAATTGAAAGGATAATGAATTTTCATATCTGAGCTAAGATCTAAAGGGGTGGAAAAACATTTAAACCACTGAGGGCCAAACATGCTCTCAATAATATTTTAGACGGCTTAATTACATCCTGTAACCCTCATAATGTTGTTTCCACTGTCTTTCCACTTTAAAACATGTATTGGGCTAAAATACCGAGGTCGTGGTGTTTTGGGGCAAATTTGTCAGACATGAAAGTGTTTTAAATTAATTAGTGATTAACTTGAACTCAGTCACAGACACACACAACCAATCACAAAGTTATGCATAGCTGTGAAATGGAAAAAGAAGGAGAAAAATACAAGAGCGAGGTCTGTGAGAGTTTTTCCTAAAAATTTATTTTAAGAGAAGGCTCTATCCGAAAGACACAGAGATGCGTCTAAAATTATAGTGTCTTAAAAAGAGTGAGTGAGTCAGAGAGAAGCAACAGGGAGAGGAGTGGAGTTTGGTCTCTGACAAAGGCTTCATTCATTGCATCTCAGGCTAATATTATATGCGTTTCACAAGGAAATGTCCACTTAGTCCTCCAGAGCACAGGCTCAGCACCACACCTTTGATTCCAGGTCTAGTCCAAATACCCGCCAGGAAGATTTACAAGGATAACACTATCAGTGGTGAAAGTAAGTGTCGGGCCCCAAGGGGCCCAGGTAAATAAACTCACAAGTCCAAGACAAATTGGTTTAGGCAGGTTTCAGACAAGAAACACTGTTTGCTTTCCAAACTGCTGCTTATTTCTAAGCAAGATAGTCTCAGTGATTGACTAGTTAAATGGGTTTGTTTCTAACATATAATAAAATGGAAAGACATTTCACTTACAGACTGGAACACACTTTTGGGTGTATTTTAGAGATATAAATGAGATGTTGAGTCTGTAGATGGCGCTCTAGAGCTATATCACTACTGATTTTTTAATCAAATCCCAAGATAGTTTTCCTAATTTGGAATGATTGATTGATTGATCGACTTTTGATTTATTTAAGAAAAACACACAGTTACGAGTTTACGATGTCAATTCACTTCGTGCTTAATTTATAATATTTCCAAATTATTCATAAATTAAGCCAAAAATGAAATATGACACAAAATAAAGGCGTTAAAGCAGCTTTAAGTAATCAATGCAATGCTCCATTAAAAACAATTAACAAAAACTGCTTTACAATAAACATTAAAAGACGGTCTCTGAAATAACACCTTTCCAGAAGCTTAAAATAAATGAAACAACAGGCTACTTCACATAACCACACCAAAGAACAGAACTCGTGGGGCCAAATGTTTAAATTTCCACATGTTGGGCATAGTATTACTGCTCATTGCTGATACATTTGATTTCACACACGTTAACTTAAGGAGGGTGGGGAATCAGTTTTAGCGTTTCTCTTACTAAGGCTTCATACCCTCCCCATTTATGTTGCAATGCTGCCCCCTACAGGTGCGATGTACCCAGAATCGTAATACAACGGATTTCTCTAGTGTGTTTGAGGATTTTTATAACAAGGTCAATATACCAGAGAAACAGTCACTGATAAGGTGATGCTTTATATAAAATGTAGGCTAAAATATTCAAAATATATATAAATAAAAGCGTCTAATAATAATAATAATAATAATAATACAGACGAACATAGCCTACTGATAAAATAATGTTTAATTATACACTCATTCATTTAGGCCTTCTTCATATATTGGAGTATTTAATGTAAAGCTATAACGTAGCCTAATATTAAAATATAATTTTACCTAAGTGTCTTGGTTAATCAGTGATAATCTACGTTGTTTCTACATACACTTGGCTACACATCAACATGGCTGTCACACTATAAAGCGGACTGTTTTACATTATTAATTATGTTATTGAGTTTCATTCTTACCAGTGTAAACGGTTTTCCTCACATGTGGTAATCAGTGTTTCACAGCTGTTGCGCAATATCCAGCACTGGGAGACAGGTGTAAGGGAAGTGCTGTTACAAAGTAGCCTAAATAAAAATGTTGCATGAAGCTACTAATTACGCGGCCGCCATTTTGAAATCGAAAGCGGGCTCAGGTGGGGGAAAACGAAGTAAAGATTCAAAACGTCAAAGTTAGAGGATAAACCAACTTTAGGGTCAGCAAGTAAATGAGGTGCTTGAGTGATTTCTTCCTTATTTTTTTAAACCACGCTTTTTAAATATGTACTTTGCAACTTTCACCCAATAGAAAACACTAGAGTTATTTAGACTACTGTGTTATTTATACAGTCACACACCAGATGGCACACACATTTAAGTGACTCATGGAAATCTTTTATGTTTGCTCATGGCGTGTAAGATTCAAAACAAAAACCCTTCATTGTTTTAGGGTTAGAAAGAAGAGATGGAAAGAATAAAAATAATTTTTGTGTGTGCTTTCTAAATGCGACTTTATTTTTTGAAGATGGAATGATGAGAGATGGAACGAGAATGGATTTACAGTAGTTCAGTTCAGAAGTTTTATTTACAAAGAGAGAGGGCTGCATGCCTTTCATCAGTATAAGAATAGATACACACAGCCAAAACCAATTTTTTTTGACTCTGTAAGGTCAAGTATTTGTTCAAGTCTTGCAGTCTCTATGGCGTATAGTGAAGATGCTAAAGCTAAGCACAGTGTGCTCACCCCTCATTCAAGTTTGGATAACAGACTGCTAAACAGCTCTCATTTGCACAAAGTAAAACATCCTCATATAATTTTGCCACAATAAATCACATGGGCTAAGTTATTATGCATCCACCCTTCTCCTTGAAGGGGTTTTTGTCCTCAGGAACTCCTTTTATGAGAGGATCTTCTGCAGATTGGGCCTCTACCCATTCACAAATTTCCTTTGCGGTTTTAGAAACCTGAGGAAAGAGGGAAAGTATGTCAGACTTTTGCCTCTTACCATCCTCAGAAACAGCCCAAAATCCTATTCAATAAAACATAAAATGCAAGGGTGGCAGGATGTAAAGAACTTGACAGATGTTTATTTGGGCTGCCAGTCAGCAGGCAGAGAAACTTACAGGCTCTCTAGTGTTCTTCACCTCCTTCTGAAGTTGTTCCAACTCCATTTTAAGGATGTCCTTATCGGACATATCCCGCGCCATCTTGCCCTGAGAAAAAAAAAAAGAAAAGTTACAGGGCCACATATCAAATAAACAAATCTGTGACAGTCACACACTTTTTAAAGATCACTTTTCTAGAGGGAGGAAAAATAAAGTTCATAATGTAAGTATGTGATATAAATCCCTACATCCCAGTGTTTAATGCTGCAATATATGTCCTTAAAGATCAAGACAAATCATATTTAAAAGCTGTATGACACATGGGACATGTTCCAATTAATCTGAAATGTTCATGTTGTGTGTCACTGGAAAAACAGATTTTATTGTTCAGAAGTTAAGTCAGCGGAACAGGTTTAATGCATGAATTGTGTAAAACTAAACTAATAATTATGAAAAAATAATAATAATTGGAGCCACAGCTGTAAATTGACTGCTATGTTGATACTTCAAACCAACTAAATAGAGGGGGGGGGGGGGGGGGCCCGCGAGATAAGTAAAAAAACAAAAAAAAAA